AAATAAGAAAATGGTGACAAGCAGTTGCATGTTCAATGGTTTTGTGGACTTTAAACGACGCTACAAATGTAATATCTTCCTAATTAAAAGAGGCTGCTTAGATTTGACTCAGGCTTTTATATACACGATTCGTGCAACCTTGCCCCATGTTTCGATAAGTTTGATTATGGAAAACTAAAAGTGATGTTTCGGTAATAATAAAGTTAGGAACTATGTCTTTAATTACGAGATGATTCATGGTATTCATAATTAGGTAAAGGATAAAGAAATACGTTTTCTTCATATTCTAAAACATTGTTTTTTTCCCACCTACTCTGTGACTGTTGTTCATTGCACGACATTCATCTTTCATTCAATCTTATCTGAAAGGTTGTTTTCATAATATGATGAAAACTAATTGTTTGCAACTATAAAATAGATCAAGGATGAATTTAAGAAATTGATAAAAAAAAATTCTTTCAATGTTTAGAAAAAAATAATACTTTTCTTTAACTTTTTCAAATAATATGATTTATTTCAAAAATAAATGAAATGCTTTTGTTTCCGATAATGAAAATATTTACAGTTTCGCGTCGTCGAATTCTGGTGAGAAATGCTGAGCGAGTCATTAATTCCTTAAAAAATAATTTTAAACGATTTAAGGTTATGTTGATTTAAGAAGAATAACGATTCAATAAAAACATAGATCCAAATGAAATTAAAAAAAAAAAAAAAAAAAAAAAAAAAAAAAAAAAAAAAAAAAAAAACTGATTTTAAATGTAAAATTTGATAAGTTTTAATTATCAATCTGCAAATGGAAATTTTAAACTACTGAATTCTAAACTCGTTTTCATTACGTTTCAATTTCTAAAAGTATGTATTTATTTGTGGGGAAAAGAAACTTTTAACATGCATTTTTCTTTTCGCACACTAACATTTTATAGTTCTATTGCAATTTTAGTGGTTTATATACTTTTAAAAAATAACTGGGACTAACACACATTTGTCTTACATGGAGAGAAAAACCACGAAAACCTGACACGTTTAGCCTGACATCAAGGAGACTCCAACCCACAATCCGTTTACCACTGAGGATATTTTGCGTCAGCATTGTGGTCGGTGCAAGCCGGATGCGGAATTCGTATCAACCAGCCATCTTTGGGATTCGAACCCGGTTCACCTCATTGGAAGGCGAATGCTCTATCACCTGAGCCATCACGGACGAAAAATCATCATCGAAATTTTTTTAACCACAGTGTTTAGATGAAAAATGTATTTACTTCCTGACTTTCCATCACGCCCAGATCCAGTACCTCATAAAAATAAAGTTATAAATTATTATATAGTAATTAGTGTCAAAATATTCACTTTAATAGCCTGTTACCAATATGTGATAAATTCTTTAACCATAATAACATTTATTTATTTATTTCATTCTGTTCCTTAAAATTAAAAAAAAAAATTTTTTTTTAATGAAGGAAAATGTTAAGAAATATACGCTTCATACAATGTAAGAAAAAAAAATCAAAGTAATTCCATGTTTATTAAAAAAAGAATAATCATATAATGCGCATTGAGTGCATTTTATGGATCAGATGGCGACATGCTGACACTTTTTTGATAATGATTTGTTATAATGAGTCGCCATTTGGCAGTTGGTGCCCTTTAATTTTGCTGCGTAGGTTGAGTTGTTAAGTAGAAAATTTAAAAACTTAAGATAATTTTTATTTTTTTATCTTTCATGGACTGTAACAATTTAGTTTTTTATTAGTAGATCAGAAAAAAATATCTATTTACGTCTCTTTTTTACGACAAAATAAAATCGCTTTTATATTCTATGTCTGCTAAAATAACTTTCCCTGTGAAGATTGTCCGGAAAGAATTTATGAATATCTCTCTATTGTGTTGTAATAATTTTTATATTTTCTTTTTTGGGTCAGTCACTGTGTTTTCCTAACAGTAAATGAAACAACCATAAATATCCCACTTCCGAAACTCGTTTTTGAAACTGTTTCAAAGAGAAGAAAAAATGAAAGAAAGTAATACTATGATACCAAGCCAACTTTCAACACTGTTCACGAAAAAATTCTTATTGCTGAAGTTTTCCTTTTTTATTTTTAATTTATTAAAATAATATCTAAACGTATTTGCAAGACCCTAATAAATAATTAATTTAAACTTATTTATGACACACTCGTTAATAATCCACACACTCTTACTACTACGGAATTTCCGTAGTTTCAGCAAAACATTTTTTCTCTTGGTAGCAAATGCATAATAAATTAATATTTTAATAAATTAGAATGAAAAGAATTCCGGCCACCACTACATATTAATTATTTAAACAGATAATATAATAGAATTTCAATCTTAAAGTTTGCGTAAATAAATCTACCCTCATTTTCAAATTCGATGAAAGAGCAGATAGTCCTACGGAATAGGTACTCCGAAATTTATGTTTAAATCCGTGGGGGTGCCAACTTTCTCCGCTTTGAGAAGAAGTATATTTAATTAGTAGCAGCGAAATATTATTTGTTTTTAATTTAGTATTTTTCATTTTAGGTGATTTTTCACCACTATACATCAAATATTCGAAATATCTTATGGAGGCCTGCCAAGTACTACGTTTTTTGCAAAATATTTTATAGAGTGGGTAGCCTTTTAAAAATCAAAGCTTTTAGAATTATTGGTAATTTTGCCGACATTTTATAAGCCTCAGTACGAAATAGCTAGAACAAAGAGTTGTTTGATATGAACTTATAAATCATTTCTATGTAGTGGAGTCGAACATTAATTAAATGAATAAAAAATATTACATTAAAACCTAAACATAACTACCATTAGAATAAATTTTTACAACAGGAGTAGAAAGTTGGCAGTCCTGAATATGGAATGCAACTTCATTACAGCCTGGTGACTTTTCAAGAGGGGGCTTAATTATCCTTATTCTACAAGTTTTGCTATCAAATTCACTACCAATTTCTTAAAACTTTCGCAGTTGTCATCCCTGCAGTAGACTAGTCGAGTGGCCATATTTCAGAAATGCTCTCCGGACAACGAATAAATATTTTCGAGTGGTGGTCTTTCAGTGTATGATTCTTGGTTTAGTTAATTCAATTTACAGGGTTTTTAATCACCACAACTTTTAAAAATTCGATGACTTATGTGATTTGTCACTTTGTAACAGGTAAGCAGTGTTGAGTCTTTTAAAAATTTATCAAAATTAACCGAAAACTTGCTAATACTATCCGGTGCAGTTGGCATTTCTGATATTCTAAAAGGTTTCCTCCGACCTGGAAAAAATGAATGTGTGGTAGCTAAGATTTTTCAAGACTACTGAAAAATGCCTAAATTTATCTTTCATTTGTAAATTACGAAATTAAACACGCGTTATTCTCTGCACTCATACATATTTTCGTTAAATTAAATATTTATTGTGTGTGTGTTAATTTAAAACATCTTCTATATATCACCTTCGGTACCACTTCAAAAAAAAATTAAATTTCCAGAGCGTAGAAACCCTGTTCTAGAAAAATTCAAAAAGTGGTGATAAATACATCATAACGTCGTAGAAAATTTAGATTTTTTTTTAAATGATAAAAAGAGTAGAGAGTGCCAATTATACGACCTCCGATTATTCGGATTGTCAAATTATCCGGATCGTACAGAGATCATTTGTTTTTCCCACCTTTCCAAAAAGAATTTTTTGTACACGATAAAGCTTCTTTATTTAATACGTCGAAAAATTAAGAAAGGGGTCGAAAAATGGCTTCTTTTGTCCCTCGGTAATCTCGAAAAAAAAGCTCATGTTCGTTTTTTCCCGTTTCCTTGTTGATGGAATTAAGTTTCTATAAAAAGAACAGGTTAATAATAAAATTTAATTTAAAAAAAAAGACTAATTGTAACATAGGCAATACTGCAATTGCCAATCCTGAAAAAATGTACTCATATTCCATGTAAATGTAAGGTAGTTGAATATGGGTAGACGTCAACTCAAAATTGGATCAGCTGTTCAACGACATTTATAGAATATACTTCCACTTTCGAATGTTGTTGTTGTAGGCCATTAAGGCACGTGCGAGTGTTCTAGACATCTATGGCCAAGAATTTGACTTCTGCCACACCCATACTTCACACCCGTTGTTTACGATCCCCAGATCGTAATTTTGACCTGAACCAGAGAACGACCCATCTCTATTTCAGTACCCCCGAGGTATTGATTTGATATGGGAACAAGGAGGACTTTGCGACCTGACAGATTTAACGACCACCAGTCAACATTTACTACATTCGGTCGGCGGTATTCGAACTCCCGTTCTCACGAACGAGAGTCCAGCACCCTGTCAACCAAACTATCCCGTCTCTTTGAATTTAAATATTTTAGGTTTTACATCCATGTTAGAACTGTTCAAGTATTTTTAAAACATTGAGAGTTTTTCAATGAAGCTATAATTATTTCCATTTTTGGTATTATACCTTTTTAAAATTGACCCGGAGAAATTAGAATAAGATTTTATTATTAGGCTGGTAAAATATTGCTACTTGGTGAAAATTCCTTCACCGAAAGCAGAGATGCCAACTGCTCCGGACACGCCAAATTAATTAAAAAAACGGTAAATAGCTGCGAAGTAAATTTTGCAAATATTTGACTATATTTGCTTGCTTTTTAATGGGTATTGCATGACACAATTAACATAAAGTGGTGAATTTTATAAGCTTACTAATTATTTAGAAATAGTGGTGGATAATAATCTACTAAATTGAATTTATTAAACCAAGAATTACAATTGATAAACTACCACTTTAAAATATATATTTGCTGTCCGGAGCAAGTTGGCATCTCTGCGAAAGAGTAAAAGTCAGGCTTGCGGTATGACGCTGTTAAAGTAGAAACAATGGCTAAAGCATGAAACTCAATTTAAAATATTTGTTTCTTAATTTAATTCTTCGTCGATAAATGTCTGAACATTTGTATTGAATTGTATTAATATTTGTAACTCTCTTTTTGTGTGGCGTTTCAGAAAAATGTTCTGGACAGATCAACAGGCCACCGGAATTTCTAGTTGGAGGAGATATGGATTACTTCTCTCTCAAAGAGGACACACCAGTCGGTAAGTCCATTTAGAATCTAGTTCAAAAACCATTTCTTAACTCACTGCACACCTCTAAGGCACTATCAACAGTTTTAAATTAGAAATTTTTTTAAATTTGTAACCACATTATTTTAAAAAATATGTAAAACCACTGTCATTAGAACATAGCTCTAATCATAATGCGCTGCCGTGAAGTGTTTCGCCAGGTATTGGGGGTCAAGTGGGAGTAGAATTGGGGGGTTGGCAAGCACCAAATAGTAGACATGTCAGTGGTAAACCAGCCGTATGATGAAATCGATAGGAACTTAAGCATAATTGAGATTAGAATATAATAATATTTACTGGGGGTCAGAATACTATTATCATTTACGCTGTTGTAATAAAATAGAAAATAAAATAAAGAAACTATATGCCACTATTTACATATTTACACGAGATTTAAAGGAAAAAAAACTGTTAACGACAAAGAAAAGGTTATATAAGCGACAGGTAGCCCGGCAACTATTTTGTCTGTTATAGTGATGAACCAGGCGTCTTGCTAATACCACTCGTTTCTGGATTGCTCATCACACTAAAGTTGCTCATTTATCGTCCTTACAGCTGCGACAGATTTGGGTTGCTCGCATACCGTGGAGCCGAGGAATTGCCGTGTTTATTTGAAGTTTACGGTTGTTGAAAAAGAGTTTAGAAAGCGGTAATAAAACCACAAATAAATTTGAAAGAATTATCTGAAAACAAAACTATTAGGACATCTATAAGCATCATTTGCAAAACAAATGGATCTCATATACACTTTTAAAATTATTGAATCGTCGTGGAAGTTTAAAAATTTATTTCGAAACTACAAGATTTAATTCGCCAAAACGCTAATGTTGCTACCTCTAAGAAAGTTTTTTCTCAACGGCTGTACAAGTTGGCAACCATGCACTGTATTATATAATTTGGTGAATCCACGCACAAAATAATTTTGACTAAACATTTATTATTTTTCATTACTTTATTTAACCCTTTCGCGCCGACTGTCACAAATACGTGACAGCAAAAAACCGTATCAATCAGGGAGAAAAGATAAAACTGGTAATCAAAGTATTTCTTTAGCAGTTTATTTGTGGGCGGAGTTATAATTGTTTGATTTATTTAATTCACCATTACTTTGTTCAAAATAAAACTATTTAGTTATACTTTGAATTAACATTGATTATATATATTATTAAACTAACAATAATTAAAATAAAAGCAAAGTAAGTCTGTAAAATTAGTAACGACTACATTTAAGTTACCGTTTTTTATTTATTTGCAACTTGATTCTGATTTTGAACGAATGCTTTTCTGAATCACCCGTCCCCAAGGGGTTAATAATAGTCGAAATAATGTTGAATTGTAAGATATACAAATTTTTGGATCATTTTAACGGATATAATTTTATAAGGTAAAATAAATTTGTTTTGCGAATTCGGACGAATCGTTCCTGATAAATCAAATATTAAATATTTGACTTTTTCTAAGTTCCGTTTCTCTGGAAATATTCGACCGATTTTGCTCAAATTTCGTATTTTGTCATTTAAAATTACAATCTTTAAACATAAAAATTCCATACTTTATAATTCAAAATGTTTTCCACTATTGATATAATAAAAAATAGTAAGTATTTACAAAAATTTTTTTTTTCGTATGAATTTGTCTTTGGATAAACGAATTTTATAACTATCTACAAAGAGTTTTCAATTCGCTTAAAAAATTCTCGATCTATAACGAAATACGCAAAAAGTAAAATTAAGATTAAGTGGTTCAAACTTTGGAGCTCTGTCTCTTGACCAAATTAGTGGGACCCTATTTCTCACAATTTGAGAACTGTGGGAATCCAAATTTTCCCAAACAGCATTTTGGAGGTCAGAAATCTGAATCCGTCAAAAAAAGGTATGTTTATTCAGAGAAAGTACGTTTTGTGTTGGATTTCGTAACTTAAGATATCGTCTGCACTTATTAATTAGCATATTAGAAGTCGCCCTCTCGAGCCATTAAGATTGAGTCATAGAACGTGAAGATCTGATCATTAAATCAAGAGTTATTCAGGGTGGTTCTTTTTTTTTGGTGCACTCATCAGGTTTGTCACAATTAATTTATTCTTAATAACTAAAGCTATAATTCAACAAAACTGTTTCATTTATAAGTCAAAGCATTAAAAGTGTACTTTTCATTTAATTTAGTTATAAAAAAAAATGTAAAAAAAATTATTTGGAAATAGTTATTAGTTATATGAAAAATCATTATTTAACGTCAGCAGGGCTGAAAGCCCATATATATCGAGACGGAAAAGAGTAAAAACTGGCAACAAATAAATTTCATTTTTTAGTTTTTTTCCGTGAATAATAAAAATCCATAACTACCAACTGTTTTTAACGGATGCAATTTTTATATTGAACTGCTTCTTCGCCGTGATAAATTTCCTTACCGTGAACTGTTATTGTTGAGAATAGATTAACTCCTCCCGAATATTATCTAATATTGAAATAGTTCTTCTACCAGTATTTTCTCTTTTCCGTCCCGCTTTCAGGCCTGAACGTCAGCTGAGAGGTATCAATAGAATTTTGGAAGTTTCCATTTTACGTCTGTTCTAAACTACAGAAAAAAATGTAAATAAATTTAATGTTTTACAAATATAATCTAATTTAGTAAATATATACCCTAATAAGCGATGTGTTAGTAATTAACTTATATTTTGAATCAGAAATATTAATACGGAAATCATCGTCTTAGAAAAATCTATTAGTAGTAACTAACAGACTCTATAAGAAAAATCTGTATCATTTCATATGAAATTGTAGTTTAGCTTTACTCACTTGATAGCACTAAATAACACAGAAATATTCTATTTGTCTATAGTTGTCCACACTCTTCTCCTCTCCCTTAATTAACCAAATCGTTAAAATACAATAAAACGACAATTTCTTGACCAATTTAAATGAAATTTTCGGCAACTCTATAGAATTAAGATAATTCAGATTAATAAAAGTTCCATTTTAAATGAGCCTGATTAGCCAGTTAAGTAACCGTTTACCTACTAGACTCATATTTTGCACTAATGAAAAAAGCGTCTTCAAGAAAAACGTCGTAGCAGATTCGCATATAAATCAAAGGAAAATTTTCAGCAGTCAGTTACTAAATTTGTAAGATATTCAGTAATTGTTCGATTTCAAAACAAGATGCATATCATATGATATATAATTTTATATAATTAATACATTTTGGATAATAGGAACATTCAGTTTTACCAGTTTTAAGTGCAAAGAATGATAGGTTTGAGTTATTAAAGTATTTAACATTTTGAAAAAAGAAGGCATGTTCTAAAATTGGAACATTGGTATTTAAGCGGTCAATGGAGTATCTCTCTTTTAGCAGTATACGACCGTTTTTCCATCTATGGGTTACTATACAACTCCCAATTGAAATGTAGAGTCTTATTTCTTCTCCGAGCTCGTAAAAGTTTTAACATAATCGCTGATCATTTCGTTTATTGTGTATAATTTAGGTGCTTCTGTCTACACGCTCCGAGCAAGGGATCCAGAAAATCTCCAAGTCCATTATTACATCAGCGGTGACTCCTTTTCGGTGGAACGAGATACGGGAGTAGTGAAACTGATCAGGGCTCTGGATCGTGAAACTGTCAACACTGTGGATGTCATAATCAGTATCGCTGATCAAGGTTTCGCTGGGCTCAATCCAAACACGGTGAGCAGTTCGGTTCTATTTGTTTGGTTCATGAAATAAAATTATTCGAAGTTTCTTAATTTTTTTTTTATGTCTTAAGAAATCTGAAAAGTAATAAACCCTATTATAGGGAACCTGCTCAACTGTGAAACCACTTATTTTTGACTAATATAGGGTTGCCAACTTTCTACGGTTTTGAAATGTTCTAGTGGTTGCTAAGTACATGTTTTAATGTACGATTCTTTGTTTCATAAATGAGATCTAAAGTTATTTTCCAAACAACTGCATGAGAATGATTCAAAACCTCGTATGAAACGTCAATTATAGTCTAGTTATGTAGTGGCGACTCTTTTAAAATGTTGGCAAAATTACCAAAAATTCTGAAAGCTTTAAGTTTTAATTGCTTATCTTCCTGTAAAATATTTCGCAAAAAGCGTAGTTGTTGGCAGTTTTACTACAAATATATAACCACTGGATTTGTATCATATCTGAACCATTTCCCTATTTGATATGTTACCTGAAGACATACGACCCACAGCATCCCTCTCCAAGATACAGAAAAAGTAAAAACTTCACTTTTGTGGCAAAAAGTCTATTTTCCACACATTCTAGTCACTACATTGTCTACCACTACAACACTAGAAGTGCCGCAATCGGCTCGTCCCGGGTGCCCAGTTTAATGATTCCTTATCTTGACTTTTGATTAAAATTTTCTTTACCTCGAAGGGTCTCATAGTGTTCTTGTTTTTTTTTTCTCTATGAAGTTTGAATAATTTTAAACTTAGGTTATTCAATTCATTTTAAACGTGCTCGCAGTAATTAAAATTCATTAGCTTTTCTCGTTTAAACAATCCTTCCGCAATGTGGGTGCGATACAAGGATGTATCGATGCCTCTGAGATACAAGGGTGTATCGATGCCTCTGCGATATAAGGGTGTATCGATGTCTTTGAGATACATGAATGTATTGATGTCTTTGAGTTACACGGATGCATCGATGTCTTTGCGATACAGTCCCGCAGTGGACTGATCGTTAAGACACGGTTCCCATCAGATCACCCAAGTCAAGCATCACTGGCTGCGGTCAGTTTGCGGGTGGGTGACCACTTGGATCAGTCTGCGTAGGGACCGAGAGTGTGCGGTATGGGTCCTCGTTAAACTGTGCTACCGTAAAGAGCTCCACTTCGCGTGCAGGTCGTCGGACTACCGAAGCGGGGGTGCCATCCCCTTTGCAGAGGATCAAAATTGTGATGGCATGTCTTCGGATCATCCTCAGGGATGTTTCCCAGACCGTCGCCAATAGCCCATTGTGCAGCTCTAACGCGACGTAAATGAACAACAACAACAGTCTTTGCGATACATGAATTGGCGACATGTTGACGATAATAGAAATGAACAGATTGTTCCTTACATGAGCGTGAGAATTTTGAGACTAAATCCGAAACATTTTATGCATCCAAATGAGTTTAAAAATAAAAATGATCGGATTCTTACATTTCATTCACATTGCGACGTAACATACTAATTACATTTTTAGTTCAAGTTATTTAAAATTTGGTTTCAAATGCAATTATTTCATTACCGGGAAGATAATATTCAGTCTTTTTCCTGTGTTACATTAGCCTATAATATAGACAATTTTATTTCATTGATGTATCACGGTATATTCATACAAGCACATAAATGTTGTAAAAACTTCTGATCTAAGAAGTGAAACGAACTACTTTTAGGTCTCGTGGATGAGATATAATATTGGTATTGACAGAGATGCCAAATGCTACGGTTTCGACAAGGTATTTTTAAAAACGGTAGAGAACTACATACTAAAATTTGCAGATTTTAGGCTAATTTTGTAAATTTCTTAAGAGGTTCAACACATCTCAATGCATTTATTTATTGAATTACATTTACAGACTTATGTACTCAATTTTGGCTCATAAATCTTTGTGAAATAGAAGGACAGATAGCAAAATACAGAGAAGGACATCACAAAGATACATCCTGGGTAACAACGGAGTTCGAACCCGCTACCTCCATGCTTTGCACAGCGTTTGGCGAGCGACATCGCTTTGCCAGGGAGGCCCCACGACTCAGTGTAACAAAGTGGCGTATCACATAAGTCTTTGAAATATTTAGACGTAATAGAAACCCTACTCATCATATTTACTAAACATTAAAAGAATACCAGTCGGAAGTCTGAAGCAAGTTGGCATCTCTCTATTGATGGTTGTTTACCGATAACTAGATCTGTTTGTATTTAATTGTTAAAAATGTGGTCCGTGATTTATAAGATTATAAATAAAAATTCTAATATTCCTTTTTAGTATTCTAATTTTTTATTTGCTCATAACAGTTAACCTTGTCATTATTGAACGACTTTACACTACTGTTATCAGGATCTTATTTGTTTAAACAATTTATTTACAATCGTGGTAAAAAATCTTAAATCAAAATAAACCAATGAAATTAAAAAAATAGAATCGTAAAGCATAAAATTTACGATTCCCTTAAAAATTAAAAATAAGATATCACGCTTATTGTGTTTAGATTTTTTTAAAAATTCTTCTTTGGTTTCAGATTTCCATCAGAAGAGAGATTACAATACTGGATGTAAACGACAATGCACCCGTTTTCCAGAATCTTCCATATTCATTTGACATGGATGAAGTAAGTTTCAAAAGGCCTTTCCCTCTCTCTATTTTAAGATTAAGCAATAACAATGCAAGTCACGAGATTTCTTTATATTAAGTGTAATTCTAAAAACCTCTCAAGAGCGACCACTTTCTGTTCCACAGTAAAATGGTCGTTAATGGAGGTGGGTCGTTATCAGAAGTTACCAACAGTGACTTCAAAATGCTATCGAAGGCACGTGATCATTTTCGAACGATATTAACTTTAGTTAGTGTCATTTTCTTGGTGCGGAAATGTCACTTGTGTAGGCGTCATGAAAATTATCCCCATTCATATAATTATGAGAGTGAAAATAAATTTACCAATTATAAATGATAGAACAATTTTAAATAAATGATAAATTATGTTTTTTCTTTGAGTTTACATTTAATTTTGTATCATAAAAATTAGTTATCTTTAAAAAATGAGATGAGATTTGCTTGTTTGAAATGCTAAGTTTTTTCTAAAATAATTTTTTTTCTAATTTAACTTTCGACTCTAAAAATAGATCGTTGATAGCACTCTCAGTGCAACATGAGGTTGCAAATCTCTTTCAGTGATTGTCAAAAAGAGTTTTCTAACTAAGAACCTCACATAAATATTTTGAATAAATTTTAATCTACTTACTTGTTTTGTCAATAATTTTTTTTGTTTTGATATTTTATTCTTCATTTGACCTTACCCCCATTCGGTGCAGAGGTTTGTCCGGTCACTGGGAGAGGTTTTGATGGTCTCTCCTAAAGGTTTTCTTCTACACAAAGTCTATGGGGAAAAAAATTCCATGCCTTTCAAAAGTGGTCGTAAATAGAGAAGGTCGCTACATGGAGGTTTCACTGCAGTACTTTTTATGCAAAATTACTGATATACATATTTAAGGGTAAAAACCTGTACCACTTTTTTATATATATATATATATAACGGCACCTCTTGCATTCTTGTAAAATGGCTCGTATCCTTATAGTATAGAACTTACCGGTAGACTTTATATTTCTTTTCAGTGATTGAGTAATTCAATTTTTTGCAGGCAAGTCGAATTGGAACAACTGTTTATAGAGATATTGTGGTCACGGATGCAGACGTTGGTGCCAATGCTGAAATTAAACTTTCCTGCTCACACGAAAAGGTAACACTCACGAACGTTATACAATAAATACTAAATGAGGGCTACTACTTATCCTGTAAGAACCGGTCGCTTTCACCATCCTTTTTTCGGGTGAATTAACTATACCTATTTAACACTTCAATTTTAGCATAAAGATAGAGTTGGTAAATTTTTGCATTGGAATTATAACTGTCAATTGTTACGTCTGACAGACCTGTGACTGTGAAAGAGTGATGTGTATGAAGGTAATGTGACTTGAACATTAGAACATAGGTCAAATATCAGTGTGCTGCCGTGAAGCGGCATTAACTGATTCGTCAGATATTGGAGGCAAGTGTAAGTAGAATTGTGTGATGTGGGAGTAGAATTGAGAGGGGAGGGAGATTGAACTGGATTAGAATGTAATAACATTTACAGGGGATCAGAATAATATTTGGAAGAAAAAATAAGTGTCAACGACAAAGAAAATGTCATATAAAGCGATAGATAGTCCGGCAGCTACCTTGTCTGTGATGTCCTTGACGTCCTGGTAATACCACTCGTTTCTGGAACAGGATTAGAGCATGTGTTAAGCTGTAGGAAGCAAAAAACAAATGATATGTTTGAAGTCTAGCTTTCGAATGGTGGATGCTAAATTTCAGTATGTGAAAATCACATAGTTAAAAGTTATTCAACCCGATATTTTTTCTCTTCGTAACTAACTAGCTCATGTCTTAAATAAGTGATTTAATAGGAGACAGGTCTTTTTATAAATTTAATGCATACAAAATTATTATGATTTCATTTAAATTTATTACTCGATTAAATTTTAAAACCAATCTCAGTGCTGAGATAAAATATCCTTCGTGATAGATTGATAATGACTTAGAATCCCCTTACTGTTGGAGTAGCCATGGTAGGTCTTCGTGACTTTCCACTCCCTGTAACGAAAAAGTTCCATGAAATGAAACAAAAAGTTCTCTATAAAAGCTAGTTTCTCTCATTGTTTGATCCAGGAGTTCTCCAGTCTACAGGGTTGGGTTCAAAATTGCAAGTTTACGGAGTTGAACACCGATGGTTCTAAACTCATAATCGGTTCTAAACTCAATTTAATTTCCCGATATATATTTAAGCTATATGATCTCAACCCAAAACAATTATCTTTTGACGTCCTTATAACATTTTTACTCCTTCAGTTTTGAAATAATTTAATTTGTCTATTTACTTCTTCAGTTTTATAATTTTATTTATTGGATTTGTTCATGTTCTTTTTTAGACTCCAGAAGCGTGCAAAACCTTTGAAGTTCGTGGAACGAGGATAAGCAATGGTCGGATTCGTGGTGAAATAGTTTTGATAGATTCATTAGATTACGAACACCAAACTTCTTACACGATAACAGTCATAGCAGAGGTGAGAACTTTATCTCTTACATTTTCCATTGATACATGTGGCATAGGTGAATAATGTAAACGAAATAAAAATGTTTTTTTAATTCCCATTGTAGTTTTTTAGAGTAACTAAAAGTTTCATTTTAAAGTTACGAATTTATGTACAGGATATCCAGCGGAGAGCTATTTCAAAATAGAAAAAATGATTGAGGGAAGAAATAACGTTTCTCTACGTTTGTGGCGTAAGTTGTAAAAAATTTTAAGCAGAAATAATGAAATTTAATTACAAAAGTTTTCAGTAGATCTTCTAACTGCACAGAAGTTCTTCAATATAGAACTGTAATCTAACCGAAGATTATTCCGTAGAGCTGTAATCTAATTTGTAATTATTCCAATACTGACAGAAACACGGTGTTCAATACAAACTTAGGTAGTACCTAATGCATACCGGCAGCAGGCCCGTCGTCAGCGGGGAGGTGATAGGGGTGTCTCACCCCCCTCCCCAGTTATTTCATCCAGCCGGCAAAATCAAGTTGAATCAGCATTTTTTTTTTTGTTATTATTTGTATATTTTACCTTATCAAATAGTGGTGATCGTGTCAGCAAATTACCGACATGATAACTTTGATATTGGTTGTTGTTGTTTCATATGCAACTTGCCAATATCAGCTAGCCTGCTTGGTGAAACCAAGTAAATTTAAGCGTAATTAAGGCTGATGCGTTTCTTGTTTTTCAATGGCGCCATCTACGGCTAAGAATACGACTTCAGTCACACAAGCCTCACAACCAGTTTATAGGGCGGATCCATTCATTCATTCACAAGGTCTTAATTTTGTTCTGAACCGGAGAACGATCAATCTCCAATCCCCCAGAAGTAAGATTTGTTATGGGTACAGGGAGGACTTTGTGACCCGACAGGTTAACGTAGGACAACAGGTTAACAAGGATATTGGATTTATATTTTAATAATTCATATTTATTAAAATATAAATCCAATATCCTTTCTACCGTTAGGAAAACTATTTTCTCAAACTACGAGGAATCCATATCAGGGCTGAAAGTGTATATATATATCGAGACGGAAACGAGCGAAAACTGGTAAAAAATAGATTTCACTTTTTGCTGATTTTTGGGCATATATAAAATATCCATAACTATCACATTTTTTTAATTGATGCAATTTATGTATTGAATTTCTTCTTTCCCTTCAAAAAATTGATAGCAATGAATTATTTATCATTAAATAATAGATTTACTCCTCCCAAAAATTGTCTGTTATTGAAATAGTTTTACTACCAGTTTTTCCTCCTTGGTTATAACAATTATCCGATATGGCTACACTTGTTCCTAAAGGGCCGTAAAGCCTCAGACGCCCAGTTCCATTACAACGAACGAACGAACATTTATTCCTGCTCAAGCGCTAGAACTAAGCCTATGGCCTGCAACGCCATCTGTGGACACTTATCTTAACTAATTTTCAAACTTTCAATACAGATTTTTACATCTTTTCTGCAATAAACTTACAGTTTTTTTCATTCTCCCATCATTTATTGCTTCGAGATCATTAATTTTATAATCAGTCAGTTCTCAGCTGGAAATCCAGTATTATGCTAGTATTGTTTTTATTTGCTCTTGTGTGAAGGATAGAGTTATCAAACAAATGCTCTCCTTTCATAACTCCACTGCCCAACAGTGTGGTGGATGAAGAGAACGCTATATTCCGCGGGAGAAACCCTTCATGACGAATTCTTTTTCACCTACAATTTAAAGTAAGGAAAAAGGGAGTTCAGATAAATCTAGGATATTTAAATGCTGAAATTTAAAAAAAAAAAAAATGTTAAGAATCAAATATGTCTTAAAATTGTTTGGTGAGTGAGAAATTTTAAAACAAACATTTGTTTCAGGATTCATCAGAATCTGTATCTTTGAGAACGTCAACAAACATTTTGGTGAATGTAAAAGATGTTCAGGATCAACCACCCGTCTTTCAGAACGCACCCTTCACAGCCACTGTTATGGAAAATAGTCCAGAGGTAAGACCTTCTCTATCGGATATGCCAACTCAATCTTATTTGAAGGAAAAGTTTTTTTTTTAAGTACAGCAAAATTTATCTTTGATCACATGTTAATCAGTTTAGTTTAATTAATTCTAATCAATTTAGTTTGTCTATACCAACCTTTTGGCTTGCCTATATATATATATATATATATATATATATAGCATAATAAATAAATACAAAATTAGGAAATACAATATGTGTTAAATTAAATAGAAAATTAGAAAAAACAATATGTTTTATTTATTGCGCATAAGCTGCAAGTAAATAGAACTCATAAAATAGGTCCAAAAAGTAGAGAAAGCAAGGGAAAAATTACAGAACAATGAAAGAAGGGGAAAAAATAATATTAAAAATAAAAATAACAGAAAACCGGAAAAAAAAGAAAAAAGAACAATCCGAAAAAAAAGACAAGAATTTTTAAAAAAACCGGAAAATAAAAGATATAATCTTTTCATCAGCTCACACGATTATATCCACAAAAAGAGTGCTTTCTAATATTGTCTTAATATAGCCAAAGCAAAATATATCAATACAATAGTGGGAGGAGCACTCAAAACATTTTATAAAAAACTATTTTATAAAAAATATTACAACAAATAAATTTATTTATAAAAAACTATTTTATAAAAAACTATTTTATTACAACAAATAAAATAGAACACAATAAGTAAAAATATCCCGCAAAAACAGAAAATAAAATATAAAGAAAAAACAGAATAAAACATGAAATAAAATTTAAAAAAAGTTGTGAATTCAAATGAACTTACATGTACGGGAAATTTTTCAAAAATGATTTAAAATATTTTCGTAACAAGATTCCAGATTGCAAAAAATGAAAACAAAAGCGCAAGTTGCGATAAAAGCGTAACTAGAGGATTTTTGTATTAAAGTGCGTTCTTACTGCATTACTGAAGTGCGTTTAATTTGTTAGTTACCAAGGATGGGCCTGAAATGGACGTGCGCAAGGTAATATTATACTGGATAATTTAAAGAAATTGACAGTTGGTAATTAATATTTATTCAAGAAAAAAAATATAAAATAGAAAAGAGAAAGAAACATGAATTGCTTGTTTTGCACATAATTTTAGCCACGGATTTGCCCGAAATGGATTTGCACATGGAAAAATTATATAAATTAACAAAAAAAATTTTAGCAGATAATTTTAGCCACAGGATATACCTGAAATGGATTCGCACATGGGAAAATTATATAAATTGACAAAGAAATTTATTTGGTAAATAAATTTAGCCATGGATTTGCCCTAAATACAAGCTTCACGATCTTATTATTATCTTTTCTTTTATTAATTTACTTTTCAAAATTTTCTGTTTTGCTCTTATAAAAGCCCAAATGAGTAAAATTTCTCCAAATAAAAAGAAAAATTTAGATAATTTATATTATCGTTATTAACTTTCAAAATCAAATTTTCTATAAGTTTAAATTTTATAATATTTGTGAAAATTTTAAAACTTTATTGCCATTAAAAGATTTTAACATAGCTAAAAGCTTTAAATATAATAAATCTCTTGGTAGAACTATATATAATTATAATGATATAATCAAAAATTTAGGGAGGATTAATATATCCAAATATGAATGTCACTATGAGGAAGAGAAATATTTTGATTTTGTTCATAAACATCATAAACATATTATTATTGGTAACTTAAATATTATAGAAAACTTACAACTTAGGAATCTAATGATAAAAGGCACAAAATTTAGACCCCTTTACCATATATCAATCAATAAAATTCTAAAATACTTTCTTAATGATCTCAATAATTTTTGTTTGAAGATATCAAATAGATTCTCTTTACCTTATGTATGCTAACAGAATGGAAATGGGGTGTTTATTATTACTTTAAAAACTTTGTTTTCAATAATAAGGATAATTTAAATAACAGTACCAATTCAACAAATTTTTCTAAAATTGTTCAATCAATTAAGCAAGTTCAAAAAAATTTTGTAACTACTCCCATAAACAAAGCTAACAATAGTTATGAAATCTTCTGTAAAAAATTCGATGTTGAACTTTTAAATAGGGAATTAAAAAATAGTAAAAATTTTAAACTTAGTAATTTAAATAATAATATTGTCATTAAAAATATTTTAGCTTTATATAAGAGATTAGAAATTAAAATTAACAATATATAATTACTTGCTTAATTATCAGTCCTAAATTTCATAAAATTCCTATTAAATTTAGAACTATCACAGGTGGGTCTAATACTTATCTAACTAAACCTGGCTCCATTTTCTCTAACTACTTAGATAAAATTATTAACAATATTTTTAGAGAAGGTTTCTCTTGGATAATCACTAATAATCAACCGATTTTAGATTTCATTAAACATTAAAATTAGTTCGATGGCGACTTTTAATTTCCAGGATCTTTTCAATAACATTTCCCTTTCTAAACTAAAAGATGTCCTTTTGAACTATTACTATGATTTTAAGAATATCCTTTGTTGCGATTTTGATTATTGGGAAATTCTGATTAATTTTTGTCTTTTTAATAATTATCTTTACAATAGAAGGGATATTTTCCTTCAAATTAATGGAATACCACAAGGATCTTATTGTTCATCTCTCTTAGCTAACTTATTTTTGCATTATTATGAAAAAAATTATACTCTGAGCATTAAATTTGTTTTTAGATTTATTGATGATTTAATTATCTTTAATTTTCAGGATTATACTATTTTATTAAATAATATTTACCCCGAGGAATTAATCTTGCTTCGTAATCATGATGATAATATTAATTTAAATTTTTTGGATTTGGGTATTATAAAAGAAGAAAATATCTGCTTTGTTGATTTATACGATAAAAGAAATGAGTTTAATTTTAATACAAATAAACTAATTACTTGGAATTCTAATGTTTCTAGGAACATATATTTAAATACCACTTTTAATGAAATGAATAGAATTAAAAGAATATGTAGTAATATTTATTTATCTAAAAAACAAAGAGATAAACTCTTTTAAAATTTGATAGAAAAACAATGAATACCTAACTAAAGTGATAAAATTCTTTATAAAATCATTTAGTTATTCGTATATTATTGTGGATATATTTACTACAAATTTTCTTTGTTTATTTATATAATTTTTCCATGTGCAAATCCATTTCGGGCAAATCCATGGCTAAATTTATTCACTAAATAAATTTCTTTGTTAGTTTATATAACTTTCCCGCGTGTAAATCCATTTCGGGTAAATCCGTGGTTAAATTATTTGCTGAAAAATTTGCTTGTTAATTTATATAATTTTTCTATGTGCAAATCCATTTCGGGCAAATCTGTGGCTAAAATTATGTTCAAAACAGGTAATTCATGTTTCTTTCTCTTTTCTATTTTTTTTTAAATAAATATTAATTATCAATTGTCAACTTCTTTAAATTATCGAGTATGATATTGCCTTGCGCACATCCATTTCAGGCCCATCCTTGGTAACTAACAAATTAAACGCACTTCAGTAATGCAGTACGCTTTTATCTCAATTTGCTCTTTTGTTTTCATTTTTTGCAATCTGGCAATCTTATTACAAAAATATTTTAAATCATTTTCCAAACTTTCCCGTACATGTAAGTTCATTTGAATTCACTACTCCCTTTTTTGATTTTATTTCATGTTTTATTCTGTTTTTTCTATATATTTTATTTTCTGTTTTTGCGTGATATTTTTACTTATTGTGTTCTATTTTATTTGTTGTAATTTTTTTATAAAGTGTTTTGAGTGCTCCTCACACTATTGTATTGATATATTTTGCTTTAGCTATATTGATACAATATTAGAAAGCACTCTTTTTTGTGGATATAATCGTGTGAGCTGATGAAGAGATTATATCTTTTATTTTCCGGAATTTTAAATTTTTTTTTCCTTCTTTCATTGTTCTGTAATTTTCCCCTTGTTTTCTCTACATTTTGAACTTATATTATGAGTTCTATTTACTTGCAGCTTATGCGCAATAAAT